AACTATAACCATATCAATCAGGGAGAGCAAAACAAACAGAAAATAAGCCCACATAGCCATGTTTAAAACACAATTTTTAAGGATCTTTGTGACAGATGCAAGAATCCAGGTTTTCACAGATGACCTGAACATTASCCACAGAAATGATAATTTCAGGTTTTGCTCATGCGCCACAACACTGCACAGGCAATAAGAAAGAATTTGTGGGTTTTCTAAATGCAGACAAGACATTTAAAAATAATTTAATTACATTTTAAAGGGCATTTCCTGCATAGGACCATGTTCAACCCCCATTTGCATCTCTAGATTATTGCAATCTTTAAATCATAAGTCTGCCAGCTGGTGCTCACAGCATTACATAATCTATGTAAAAATGTAAGTGGAAAAGGAATCACTACACTTTACCAATGAGCTTCCCAAAAACCAATAGTACAATCAAATTGAAGTCCTGGGCTCTATTCCAAGCTCTCAAGGACTATACATTGTAAAGAGATCTTTTGCTCCAACACTTTCAGCCTGTCGTCTCAATCAAGTCTACCCTAAGATCCAAGTCCTGAATTAGGCAGCTGTTAAACAATTAACTTAATAACAAAGACTATCACTCTGCTCACCCCAAAAATCTTCCTTTTTGAACAATAAGCAATTACAAGGATACATGCTGTCAGATAAGCACCAGGYACATTTTCAAACTAATGTTAATTCCTTCCTAACAGGAAACTCATCTGTCATAAACACAGTTGCAAGTCAGAACACTGATGTCTATTGACCACCACCTAACAGAGCTGGGAAGCTTCATCCTTCTAGGTTAATTTCTACACGAGAATCATAGAATTCGACCAACTGCAGAACAGCATTTGTCAGGTTCAAGTAACACACATAATCTGTGCTTTACTTCAGCTCTAAATGTGAAATCCTCCAGGAGACTAACTATTCATCTTGAAAACAAGAAATGAAATTACAGCACTTCATCTTTTCCACTACAAAAATTACTATTAGTTTTGCAGTTACCATCTGTTGGAGAATTGACCTCTGTTCTAACTTTTGATTTTTCAAGATCTTCTTTGTATTCTTTCTTCAACTGTTTTACAATCTTTTTGCTGTAACTTGATTTCTTCACTTTGAAAACTTCTTCAGTTTCTTTAAAAGAGAAATTGGATAATATTACATTAGACCTGTCAAGCATACTTATCTATTAAATCTCCTAATTTTGTTCCTAGAACTTTRCAAATGCTATTAACAAACATTATGGGGTTCTTTCACAGTCTATGCTGTAATTCTATGTTTTCAGTATTTCCATCAAGATTTCAAATCACACRTCTTAGAAACCAAGTTCCAGTGATTTCAAGAGAATTCCTTCTAAGAAGACTCAAAACTACACAAACTGTTCGAACAACAGGCAGTGACTCCAAGGTGACCCGTGAACAGCAGCCCCATCACRTTAAACTCGACACAAAGACACAGAGCAGATGCTCCTCAGCCAACACTGCTGGCTCGAGGGCTTTAGGCTGCATCTTCTTCCGCACAAACCTGTGGCCACCCAGCTGCAGTGAATGTAACACAGGTGATGCGCCAGCAACACAGATGGAGGCAATTTAACCCCTTTCACCAGAATTAAGCCCCCTGAGAAGAACGTGCTGGCCCCGCAGGAGCCATGTGAGGCCAAGGTAAGAGCGCTCCCTGCCCGCCCGCAACCTGCGTCCAGGGCTCGTCCCCTCTTATGTGACCCCACGTCACCCCACGCCACACGGGGCAACCCGGCTGCCCTAAAAAATAAATACAGATCCCGGCTCTATGGGGTGCACAAACGGCGGTGGGGAGGACCAGTGCAGGCTGAGCAGCTCCGGCAGCGACCCAAAAGCCGGGCAACCACCCGTCTCACCCTCCTCCTCGTCCTGGAAGCTGAGCAGGCTGGCCCTCGGCACCTCTTTGTTCTCCCGCTGCCGYTTCTTCTCCTTGGGGCGCCCGGCCGCGGGCAGCCCATTGCCCTGCTGGGGCTGCGGCGGCGGCGGGGGGCGCAGGAGAGCGGGCGCCGGCAGAGCCCCCAGTCCCGCTCGGTCGCCTCCCATCAAGCCCAGCCCCAAGCCGAGAGCCGCGCCGTAGCTCGCGGCGCAGGCGAAGGCCGCGGGGCTGCCGGGCAGAGCGAGGGGCACGCAGCCAGCGGGCAGCGGCAGGAGCCCGGCGCCCGACGCCAGCGACATGGAGGCCTCGCTGGGCCCTTCCCCCGCCACCGCGGCTGCCGGCGCCGGCTCCTGAGGCGGCTCCTCGTCGCGCTCCTCATCCTCGTCCTCCGAGTCGTTCCGCTTCCGCACATTCACCCTCCGCGCCTTGCGGAACATCCCGCCGGGCACCGACCGGCCGCCCCGCCAGGCCCCGGTGCCGCCCGCTCCGGCCGCCCCGCGCCGCGGCCCAGGCCCGGCCCCGCGAGCATGGCACCGCCGCCCGCAGCGCCCCCTGCCGCCGGCTCGGCCACCGGCGGGCTCGGCACTGCGCCTGCGCGGCGGACAGCGCGCGGAGCCGGGGCTCGAGCCGCCCGCCCCGCTGCCGCCTCACGGCCGCCGCCATCTTGTGCAGAGGGGGCGGGGGGTGATGTAAGTATAACGTGAGTAACCTTAAGCGAAAGGTTCATCTTACGAGACAAGTTTGTAATGCAAAATTTGTTGCATTATACTAGGCGTACAGAGGTCTTGGAGACGTTGCTCTGGAAAATTTCTGTGAGCTGCTAATGCAGTACTTCCGTAGGGCAAAGCCATATAAAATAGAATTGGGAAAATCAGGTTCTTGGTATCCGCTGGAGCAGAATAGGGGCGTTAGAAAGATCATCGCAATATCGGTGCTGTGGATRTCTGTAGTTGAGGATTTTTTTTTGTTTGTTTTTCCAGGAAAAATACCTTCAGTGCTTACTTGGGCAGAGTAAAATTTACAGGAGTAAAAGGTCTTGTGCACGAGCCTCATTCAGAACACTACAGTGGCAGAAGTAACTGGAACTTTAATTTGCTCTGTGAGAAAGCCCATAGATWTACTAACCTCGTTTCTTCCCAACAAGGCCCAAATACATACATCTCCAGCTGATGCTGCATGTGTGAATTGTTGGACACCGCTGTCATAGCAATGGGGAATTACTGTGATTTCAGCACATTTTTTACCAGAGGGCAGCAGATCTTTGCTGAACGTCATCTTTCATTTTCCCAGATTGTGGAGAGAGYATTGGTAGCACTTAGAAATCAATATATTTGTGTGTACCAGCTCTTTTAACATAACACTATCCTGTGCAGGACTGATGAGTTGYCAGTTTGTGAAGGCAAGTTTACTTCTCTTGCACATACAGCTGGAGAAGGGGAATCCTGGGCAGACGATGTGAATTATGTGCCTCTGCCTGTAATATACGGTCTTGAGAGATATCACTAGAAGTATTTGTAATTTGGGGGAAAGGCTTGTGTTTTGTGTCCAAGGTGCTGACAAAGAAAACTATGTCTATACAGTAGCTGATTCAATTGTTCTCTGAGTTAAATGGAGTTCAATACCCTGCTTGCAAACACCAGCATGCTTAAATCTATTTGCAATTGCAAATGGATCCCTTAAATTCCATAATTAGAACATTGTTGATTTCAGTGGAAAAGCTCACAGTGGACATGTATTTAAGTATTCTGAAAAATTAAGTTTTGCTTCCTAGAAAACTGCTCCATCATTGGCTACCGTTATATCAATATAACTATTTATCATAGCAATACTCTTGCTTTAAAATTGTAGCACTTTCACTGGTTCCTCAGAATCCTGATAGCCATTTCCCTATGTGCACAGAGAATCATGGAATCCCAGATTGGTTTGGGTTGGAAAGGTCMTTAAAGACCACCCGCTTCCATCCCCCCTGCCATGGGCAGAGACACCTTCAACTAGACTAGATTGCTCCAAGCTCCATCCAGCCTGGCCTTGGACACTTCAGGGATGGGGCARCCACACTTCTCTGGGCAGAAGTTTTCTTACATTTTTATCTCAGTTTCATGTARTCCATTGCTGGCAGTGCAACATTCTTAGGACTTGCTATTTCAAAGCCTTTATTGTACTATATGGATGAATCTAGCCTTAATCATATCTCACTGAATCCAAATTTTGCAGACAGGGGCAGGGAGCACGCTTAACACTATTTTAATAGTCCTGGTGTATGTTTTTTGGGGGGATGACAACCTGTCTCCTGCAACTCATCTGCCGATTGTTTGCCCGAAGCCTCGGCTCCCTTGGCAAATGAGAGTCACCGGATGGGGTATTTCGACTTTCTCGTATGGGAGAACATGAGCAGTTTGCCATTAACACAAAAGTTGAAGTTCCCTGCATTTGGGGAAATTGCAGGTGTCAGCACATCCATCAGGAGGCAGCCTTTCCCTGGAAAAATACAGATCAGCTGAAGTGGGTGGAGAGCCATCAAGATGGGCGGGGGCTGGCACGTGTGATTGTGAGCAAAGTGTGAGGGAACTGGACATGCTTAGCCAGAAGTAAGGAAGGCTAAGGTTCATCCATGGACAAAAGTTTCCCAGTGAGGACACACAAGGCAGTGTGAAAAAYGAAGTTCACTCTTTTGTTAGAATTTAAAAGGTTTAATAAAGGACAATAGGGTACATAAAAGCAAAAGGATATGATGCCGGGTGCTTGGCAATCTGCCAGAGGCACGCCTGCTATTGACAGGAGACTTCTTTAAATACATTTCATATTGCATTAGCTTAATGCATATTCATACGGATTTATGCATATTCAAACTTTTTCAGGAATTGTTTAACRTGGATCCACCTTTTTAGAGCATGGGCAGTGATGATGTTWATGCTCCTGGGGTCRYGTACAYGTGGCCCCTATTCYGTAGTTTCAGCAGATGGTCYWTGTYGATRGRGAAGTGTCCATAGCAGTGGCCCCTAATGGRTCACGACACCCCKGGCCTGTCCATGCAGATATGATTGTCTGAAGGTTGGGGGTCCCAYCAGMCAGGCTCCTTTGTGGAYGGAAGTTTWATGAGCTTCTCTGACTAAAYGATCTCTTYACTTTACATTTTAAAGCCCCYCTTCCTTCTACTCCATGTTTTTTTGCTGTCAGGTCTGTGCTGATTTAACAGTTTGTAGTTAAGAGGTGTTAAGCTGCGATTCTTTTTTCATGCATTCTTTTCTCTTTATCTTATATTTTTGGTCAGTGCAGCTGYAGCCAGGGSTCCATTCAGARCCTTAGTGGCTCTCCCTGCAGCTTTTGCATAGTTTTGCTATAATGTGCAAAAAAATCTTTTATGGAAATGTTTAAGTTACAAGCTATAACACTTYAGTTATTGTAAGTTAACCACAARTACTCTAAAACAACAGCATCAGCTGTATTATAACTGTATCTGAGTTACAAAAGAAAAACTAAAAACACTAGTGATTATTTCACCACYGYGTCTAYATAACTAAACTACTTATGCAAAAAAGCAACAGCTAGCAYTCATTTTAATATTTGCSAAAGCCAGCACTATAATATGTGTTTATAACAGCAGTGTGGCAGGTTSCCCAATGAGATTGTGCAGGCTCCATCCTTCAGAGCTTTCAGGACCCAGCTGCTGAGCTGCTTAGTCTGATCCTGAAGCAGTTGTGCTGTCAGCATGGGATTGCACTGAAGAGGATGCCGAGATTGGCTCAGTGCTAATAACAGCCAGGTTGTGAGCTCAGTCCCCATATGGGCCATTCATTTAAGAGGTAGACTTGATGATGCTYGTGGGTCCCTTCCAACCCAAAATGTTCTRTGATTTGGAAATAAAGATTATGTGTGAGATAAGGAGGAAAGGACAGATGCAGGGAAATACTCACCTGCTTCACAGAGGGACGTCCAATATCTCTGTTTCCTAAATCTGAGTGTAATCTTTCATCTTGCAAAGCAACCATGTGAATTTACCTGCTGAGCTGCCATCTAACCTGAGTGATTCTCTGAGAAGCTTGGGTTCTTCTGCAATGGGAGCTACAAGGTTATGCCTTGTGTCTGAAGCACAACCTTAAAACAAAATTTATCTGCAGATTTCAATTCTCAGCTTCCATTATATAAACAAAAAAAATAACAGTGCTTTGTAAAACAGTTGTTTCACATTTACTTTGTTCTTTAAGAAAGAGTTCATTGAATTACTCTGAAGAACCTCTTACTTCAGACACCTCCTTGTAGAGTTTTCTTACAGGCCCTAACAGCTCCAGACAGATTTAAAGGCATCCCATCACTGTCTTAGCAGGTTGCCATGCCTCTCACTACTGACTATGTTCAATAACTCAGTAAATGAATGTTACAASATAGCTCTTGTTATCTGAGGTTGAGAAAACATCAGAGTACAGCAGGCTGGGAAAGTGCTTCATGATACTAGAGACATTTTCCACACTGTATGACTTCAGCAATGAATATCCATTGAAAAGTGAGGTATCCAGAAAAGAAATATGTGCAAACATTTGCCTATCTTTGTTGTGCACCCCAAGCAAGCCTTCTTTGTCATTGTTGCTGCTGCTGGAGATGGTTACACTCTGCTCTGGAAATTGTCCCTTGACCTTGTTTACCCGGAGTTTTCGAAGTCCCCAAATYGCCAAATATTCTGTTGGGAGAGGAGTGGTGCCACAGAAGGACAGTTTCAAATCCCACACTCTTGTGAAGTTGAGGAGCATCTCCAGCACAGAGGTGTCTGTGAACCAGATGGTCAGGTGGCTCTTGTAGGTAGTTTTTTCCATGGTAGAAAGCAGCACTGTTTTGCAGTTGCACATCAAGTTTGCCAGGCAGTAATCGCAGTCACGGATAGCCACAGAACAGCTGCAGTTGCGAATTGTGTTTTCCTTAGTGAAAATTAGCGTGTGGTTCTTCTGACTTCTCACAAAACTGATATGTATGCCAASGAATGTGGCCAAAATGAGAGTCAGACAAATGGAGAAAGCAGGGTAGACTATTGGCTTCATTAGTACAGCTGCCAAGCTGCCAAGTGTCTCCTCCTTTTACTGAGTGATTTAGATAACTTTGTTTTACCTACTGAGGAAAAACAATTTCTTTATTATAGTAAACATCTCTCAATGGTTAATATCACTTCGCTTTTCCCACTCATTATCTGTTGTACATATTCAGAGCCATATTACAGTTCTGTATTAAGGGGAAAGCACAACTACACTGATTTAGGAAAGGGATTGTGACTCATGTTTGGTATTCTTTTGCTCTGTTTTCATCTGCTTATAAGACATCTTGGAYACTCTCTTCTCTATGCAGGCAGCTCCTTGGCCTGGTGTGTGCAGAAGTAAGGACAGGACAGGCAGAGGAGTTGTGCAGGACAATTCCTGCTTGTTTTTCCTTTCTGCTTCCTTTGTTTCCCAACAGACAGGGGTGACAAAGGASCCTGTTCTCCACTTCACTGAGTGAGAAAGTCTGAGAAGGGCTAGAGGCAATAGTTTTGTTTTACACCAGTGTGTTGGTTTTATTTGGCTCGGGTTTTGGTAGTGGGGGGGCCACAAAGATGGCTTCTGTGAGAAGGTCCTAGAAGCTCCCACCATTTCCAGCAGAGACAATCCCTGATGGACATGTCGCTGGCCAGGGCTGGGCCAATTAGAGATGGTGGAAACACCTCTGTGATAACATATGTAAAAAGAAATTCAAAACAAAAACTCACGGAGTTTTATTTAGCCAGAGAAAGAGGAGGAGGTGAGAATGTGTGAGGAGGTGAGAATGTGTGAGGAAAACAACATGGAAACACCAAGGTCAGTGGAGAAGATGGGGGAGGAGGTGCTCCAGGTGCCAGAGCTGAGATTCCTCTGCAGGCTGTGATGATGACCATGGTGGAGCAGTTGTGCCCCTGCAGCCCATGGGGTTCACGGGGGATGCAGAGATCCACTCACAGCCCATGGGGGAGGTGCCCACGCCACAGTGGGTGGGTGCCTGGAGGAGGCTGAGAGACAGTGGGAGACCCAATGGAGAGAGGGGCCCAGCTTTCAGGCTGGAGCAGCCTGTCCTTGCAGGACAGTGAGCCCCGTGGATGAGTGACCCACATCACAGCAGTTTTGGGACAACTGTCTGCCCATGGGAGACCCAAGTTGCAGCAGTTTTGGGACGACTGCTGCTTGTCAGATTTGGACCACACTGGAGCAGTTTGTGGAGAACTGTCTCCCGTGGGAGGGGCCCCACAGTGACACAGGGGAAGGGCTCCTCTCCCTGAGCAGCAGAAGAAAATCTCGGTGATGAAATGAGCAAACCCCCCATACCCTGCTCCCTGCGCTGCCAGTGGGAAGGAGGGAGAGGGTTGGGGAAAAGAATGGTGTCTTAAGGGCTTATATTTACTTCTCATTATTCTTCTCTGACTCTGTTAGTAATAAATCCACCTTGCAACTCTTAAGTTGAGCCTGTTTTGTCCTTGGAGTGTTTCCTTCCAGTTTTCTTATCTCAACTCATGAACCCCTTGTTTTTCTTTCTTTCTCTCTGCTGCCCAGCTGTGGCAGGAGAGAGCAAATGGGTAGCTATTGTGGGTGCCKGGCATTTGGCCAGAGTGAAACCATGACTACATGAATTACTAAGTAACCATTGTGATAACCTTTCCCTTAAACTGAGTGAGGATATACTGGGAAGGGCAGTGGGAAGAGGAGTTAAAGGYGGGGTAGTAAAGCTACATCTACACCAGCCTGTAATTTTGGGGACCAGGGACCTTCTTTCATTATGTCTTGCGCAGCAGCTATTACAGAATAGATCCAGGCTTTGGCAGCTGCTCTGCCCACACTTCATTTACCCTCGCAAAGCAAAATAGCAACTCCACACATACCTATGACTATAGAGCAAGTTTCTATCCCAGCCATGGGCCACCTCAAATGGTTGGGAGCATGTTTGGTGGGATTCTTGGATTCTCAGCTGCCAGCCCTTTGGCTTTCAGAGTAGGGCTGGATGTTTTCCTGACATATTATTATACGATGTTACAGGCAATGAAGCAGAATGTAATTTTTTAACATAAATTATAAAGATGTTGGAAAGTTTGTCTGATTTGATGTAACTGTTTTGAAGCACCAAGAAGCATTAGAGACAAATTTTGACCAAAGACGACAGGTTCTAGTGAAAGCAGCAGTAGGGCACATGCTGGGCAGAATTTGTTCCTTGTCATGTAAAAAGATTGATTCGCATCTAGAATGCTTGTGTGCAGCACTTCAGAAAACATGGCAATACACCTACARTTTTATGGACTTCTGTTATTAATACTGTTGGTGKTGTTGTTTGTTYTCTTATCWCATTGCTGTTTCCAGTAAACTGTTCTTCTTTCAACCCRTGAGCTTTGCCTTTTGTTTCTCCAGCTGGAAGTGGAGAGAGGGGAATRTGGGAGGCTTTTTTAGTGGGAGTACTAAGTTGGAGAATGCAATTCCCAAACCATGACAGAAGGGTGCAAATATTGAAGTTCTTAAATCAAATATTTAATCTATGTTGTGGAACATACCAGAAATACCAGTCCAACTGCTGGCTGATGTTTAACTCCAAAGGTCAGACTCACCCAAGCTGTAGCTGTTGTGTYATCATTGCTGCTAGTAATGTTTCCACTATCTAAGCATCTAATCGCATTGAAAATCCTATTACTAGACCTCCACAACGCTTATTTCCTCGGTCCTTAATAGTGACTAACAGTTGTGATAAACCAGAAATCTGTAATATCAACACAGTTTCATAATTAAATGAAATTATGTGGATTTTTCTGTGTTAGAGGAAATAAAATCCTAGACAATATTGAGAAGTGAGTTTGGACTAAATAAAATATAATAATTTCTTTTACTAAGTAAAAGAGATTCAAACTCCCACCTGTGTCAAAAAGGGTGATATTGCTTTTTCCACTTAATGTTTGAGGACTTAATATTCATAAAACATTAGACTAAAATACTTGATTCATCCTCATTAGTCTTAACTCTTGTTTCCTTTATTTTTCTCAGTACCTGAAGAATGGAGAACCTTTAGTTGCCTACTGCTTTGCAGTCAACCAAAGAAAATTCTGTTTCAGATTTAGCTTAAACATAACATAACACATAACATAACATTTGGGCTCCATCCATCAGAATCCAAACAAAATTCCAAATTCTGGCATTCCATAAAATTTTATCTCGAGAAATCTATCCTCCTCTGCTCCCTGCAAAGCAGAAACCTATCRAGTTCTCAGGATATAGTTTCTGTGTGGCTTTGGTGAGTGAACCCAAGAATTGAAATATATGTTGCAGGTTATGTGTCTGTGAAGTGTCAAAATCACCTGCAATGAATCTTTACTTTAGCTAACAACTATCCACAGAAAAATGTGCATTATATGGTTCTTAATCAAACCACATTGCTGTCTCCACTTTTCTATTTGCTTTCATTTTTAGGGAAGAGAACTGCCTTCACCAGAGCTCTTGGAGATACACAGAGCCCTTTGTTTTAGTATTGCCACTAAGATGAAATAAAATATRGGGTTTTCTTGCCTGTTGTGGTTCTGTGTTCTCCATCATCTCTAAAATGAAAAAGAAGATAGAGTATCTTCAGAAAACTGGAGAATGTGGGATGTGTGGTAGATCTTTCCACCATGGTCGCTTGCTGAGCATTACCCATTTCCCTTAGCAGAGATAATTTATCTCTTTAACTCACCAAATAATTTTAGACATAACATATAGAAATGCAAAGAATGCAACAGATTGTGCTAAATGTCAAGAATTTCTATGCAATTTTCTAGGGAAAACTGGTGGGTATACTTTCTTCTCTTCCCTAAATTTCCTGCAAAATTTAGCTAGACTTCCAGTATAATCAAYACAACTATTTAAAGTTTCATACACCTGACACAATGGATTTTACAACTAGTTTCCRTAAGCTATTTGACATTTACTTGTATAACACAGCAGGTATAGAAGTTCTGTAAAAATCATAGAAGCCTTTCTCAGCTTTCCAGTTTATACTGGAAGACTTYTGAACTCAGGAAACAAGAATAGGATTTCAAAACTGAACTTGGTAAATTATCTAAGTGCTCTTCCCTCACTGGGGGTAACCAAAACCTATGTGCTTTTATGTGCCTTTCAGCCTGCCACATGATCCRTTCTTGTTGTCAGTAAGTTGAAAATTATATTTACATCTTCTTGTGCAGCAGAGGCSTGGGCTACATGCATTAGGCTGTGGCAGTGGAATGCTCAAGTATAGTGGAACAAATTCCTTCCCAGCAAGATAAAAATGCAAGATAAAATAGGTGAACTTGAACAACACACTGACCCTTGAAATGTTCACCATGTSAGTATTTTTGTATTCAGGTGCACACAGACTTCAGGACAGGCAATTCATCTATAAATACCTCTGTAAAGTCCTCAAGCYTGTCCATCCTGTGCAAAGCTTCTGTCCACAACAGAGGCAAACATTACAGCAGGGAAGGCTATGATATGGACGTGCAGGGAGGCAGAATAACAGGAGAAAACTCATGGGAAAGGAGGAAATCTTCTCCTTCCAAAGAATTAGGAGTGGTGATTCCTCCTTTTCCCCCCAGATGAAGGTCACCCTTAGCAGGTCACAGCCTGATTATTCCCAGCCCTGAGAGAGCCAAAAGGAGGCACGTGCAAGATGTTAATTTTCATGCTGTGTTTCATACATGCAGCCTGCACTTTTCCTAATAAAGAGCAGGGGACCAGAATGAGCGGCAGGATTTGCTTTGCTGGAACACACTGGAGCTATTCCAGCTTGGAGGTGTGCACAGTGTATGCTGTCCAGGAAGGCAGACATGCACGGGCCTGGTTATTCACATTTGAATTGCATCAGCATAGCCATTTACATAAATGAAAAGTGAGAAGGATGTGGTACAAAGCTTTACCAGCATGGGAGGAGAGAACTGTTCTGCAYAGATGTAAGGTAGAATGATTGGCGGAGCTGTGCTCCCTGGGATTTAAAGTCCAATATTCAAAAAAACCCACAGGTGTATACCTCTGCATAAAACATGAATGCACAGGCTCACAAATGCACAAAGGAATTGTATTTTCATACAGAAGTACAATTGCAATTGTAAGATATGCATAGTCAAAACCCTGTTTGTTCATGTGTCCTCAGAAAGGGATACTTTCTGGGAAACCAGGTGTCCCAAGGATGGATAGTCAGCACTTTCCAAAAACCAGAGTTATCCTTGGCGRCTCAAGCTGAGCACTACAACACTGAAGTGCTTACATTCATTTTKAAAAGACMTTTTGAAATTCTCWTTTTTGTATGTCAAACCAACTACTSYCTGGAACAAGGGCACTTAYACTGAGTGAACTTTAGGAAAGAAAGYTTGACTGCAATTTTGGTYGCTTCCCAGTACCCTTTCTAACATGACCTGGACAAAAGTTCAATTTAAACGTTACATAAAACTAAAGATTTGTTAATCCAAAACATAATGCTGAAAATGACAGTGTATTGTAGCACTTTATTTTCTATTGTTCAAATCCTACATTAGGTGGGRAAAAAAGTGAGAGTAGAAAGCTGCATGATAAAAAAACTGGTATGCAATATTAGTGGTCACTAAAAAGCTGGAGACTGAATCCTGCCCTGGAGCAGGGCATTTTGAGGCTGGATATCTCAGCTCTCACCACTCAGTGGATGCTGTCACTGCCTTTGAGACTCCAGAGCTATATGGAGATAATATATTTACTTTAGTTTGTCCATACTGTATCACTGACTTTATTTATAAATTAAATGCTAGAATAAAAGAGAGGTCCTAGATGCTCTTTCCTTGAAACTTCTTTTCCAGTGTTCTTCTCAAGGCAGTTTTAACTGAGTAAAATGTCTCAACTCCCATTAGCTGGAATAATTTCCATTAAAATTTCTGTCACCTTTAAAGATTTACCTAAAGTAATCTTTGCAAAATGGAGCAAAATTATTCCACCATTCTGTGTGATTATTATTCATTGGACTGTTAATTATTACCTTAAGCACACTGATACAGTGTATAAACAATTGCAACACATGAAAGACAAACTTTGCAGAATCTGTTACTTCACCTTGATTACAGAGCAACAAATTYGAAACAAAAATACATGCCAGGAAGAGTTACTGGAAAGGGAGAGAAAAAGCCTCATTCAAGAAAATGCAAGCTATTAAATGTTTCTCTCTTATTTATCCCCCTCCTTTACAACCAAAACAAAGACAGTGACTTACTCTTTCTGTGGATGCCAGCAGATGGGTTTGTCCGTGCCCAGCTTCCCRCTTGGCCAAACTTCTCAGCTGTGGCCGGGAGTGGGGTCAGTCAGCAGGACTGGCAGCAATACCTTCTGTCTCACGTAATGCTGCTCTTTTATGTTTTCACGGGCCAGCACCCCATGGCATTTCCCCACCCGCCAGGAGTGCAGTCCAAGGTCTGCACCAACCATTAACGCCCCTTGTGCCACAGTGTGAGGAACAGAGGGCCCCCTTGGAAATGCTTGGAGGTGCCAGCAGCTCCCTGCTCACTCTGGACGGGGAGCTGGGGCACTTGGCTGGTGACCTCTGTTCACAGGGGGTTGGCTAGCCTGGTGTSCAGGGACAGAGGCAGGACCTCTGGCACTTTGTTCACCTCATTGCTCTGTGCCAGCCTTCCACTTGGGGAGCCCTGTGACTGTCCCCATGGGACATATTCTGCTCTACCTGCTTCCTGGGGACTTCGGATGGAAGTTTAAAACAGAATCCAGGCACAGTTGGAAAGTCTGTTCACCCAGCTGGAGGAATTAACTGGAAWGCCGTAAGAGGAATGGCTGAGGTCACTTGGCTTGTTCAGACTTTGTGACAGAAAAACTCACTGCAGTGTGCAGCTTCCTCACAAGAGGCAGCAGAGAGGCAGGCACTGATCTCGTCTCTGTGACCAGGGACAGCACCYTAGGGAACGGCCTGAAGATGTATCAGGGGAGGTTTAGACTGGATATTAGGAAAAGGTTCTTCCCCCAGAGGGTGGTCAGGYACTGGAAGAGGCTCCCCAGGGCGGTGGTCACAGCCCCAGGCTGCCAGAGCTTAACAAGCATTTGGACAATGCTCTCAGGCTGGAGATGGTTGGGAGTGTAGGATGRTTGGAGTGTTCTGTGCAGGGCCAGGAGCTGGAATCARTGATCCCTGTGGGTCCCTTCCAACTCAGGATATTTATGAAATTTTCAGTCACAGCTTAGCAGAGGCACAACTAGCTCTCAACTGTTCAAACAATGCATAAGCTTCCAGATGTTCCAGCATGACCTCCAGCACAGCCACAGACACTTGAAGGTGTACTTTCTCTAGCACGGTCTTATCCTTGAGACACAGTCCCTTCAGAGCTGCTCCTGCTGCACCACGGATGTACCCACGGTCACTGATGCTTTGGGGTGTCCTGCTTCCACATGGATACATCCACAGGTCACAGTACGCAGAAGTAGCCACTAACGAGAACCAGACTAATTTACAGTAAGTCAAGCACAGGAGCCCTATGGTTTTACTTTCCCTTCCTCCTTGGCCTCCAGGGCTACGCCAGCCAGGCTCTCTTTACACCAGAGCCTACTTCTCATCCCAGATGCCCCAAGATGACAGCATCTCCTCCTCACCAGCGTCCTCCCAGCTGGATTCCTACCCTCAATGCTGCTTGCACTTCCCCCACTACAGCAAATCCTTTGTGTGCCATCCCAGTAAGCCCTAGGACCCCCTCCTCCTGGGTGTCCCCAGCACCTCCAACTCTCATCCCCATGGTCCCTCATAACTCATGAATATCCCCCTTATCTGGCTGATGTCCATCTCTCTGCTGCCTGATGGGGCYCCTTGTCTGGGGAGGATCCTGCTCCTGATGGACATGAGCCCTGCCAGTATGTGGGGGTGATGGGTGAGCATGSCCAAGCCACTGCTGGTGGCACAGGAGGAGTTAGATATGGATGAGCCACATGAGTGATAAAGCCTTGGGGGGATCACTTTGGCTTGGAAGTGAAGCTGGGGGCCCAGCAGTTGGCTGCCACCCCAGTGTCATGAGCACTGACCCCATGGTCCCCCTGCTTTGTCTCTGAACCTCCGAGTGTGCTGTGCCCAGCTGTGCAGAGCTGGGTCCCCAGGACAGGTATTGCTGCTGACCTGAGCCACAGCCTACCCTGGCCTTAGCAGCATGGCAGCGACTGGGACAAGCACCACATCTTGGGTCAGAAGCGCCCCACACCCATGCACCCAGAGGCTCAGGACATGCTTCTGGCTGGGATCCCAGTGGGGTTGCGCCTGGTGGGTGACAGGGCAGGGCTGTGTCAGTCTCAGCTGGCACCGGTGTCAGTGTCTCGGTCAGTGCTGGGATGTGTGCCAAGGAGGGCCTCTGRCCTGTGAGGCAGATGGGAGTGCTTTCCCCCAGCCTGCTCTGTGTCTCTCTGCAGCCCCTCCCAGGCCCCACCACCCACCCTGAGCTGACCTTGCTCCTGCTGCCACACCTCCCCAGCCAGATGAGGAGCAGTCAGTTATTTCCCTGTCTGCAGCACCGCAGCATCTGGGGGTTTCTCTCAGGGTAGCTCTGCCCACCATGGAGCATTTGCTGGCCAGGACCCTGGCYACTGGCAGCCCCCCACACCAGCAAGACCTGCACCTCATCAAGGAGATGGTGTCGGACATGGCCTCCACCTTCTTAGCTGCTGCTGTGTCCTAAGGAGCATCCCAGTGCCACCAATCCATCCATGTCGGCTGCTCCACCTCCACCTCCCTCTGGGAAACAGGCACCTTGCTCTTCAACTAGGATGCCATCTTCATGAYGGAGACCTGCTACAGTGTCCCTACCAAGGGACTTCCATCAGAAAAAGGAGGTCCTCAGCTGCTTTTCAAGATGTTTRAGGTCACTGACATTGCCCTCCTCCAGCTCTGACTCTGCTCAGCACCTACAACTGTGAGTTTTGTGAGAGGTGATGTCCCCACAGGACAGTTCCTCCCACTGCTGGGGCATGGGCACGTGGCAAGGAATGGCCCTGTCCCACCAGCTCTGCCAGGACAGGGAAGTCTCAATCTTGGTTGTGGGGTGGGCAATGGCGGGGGACATGCCATGGGCACACAGCCTTGCGCGTCTCTGAGCCGCACTCACAGGGGGTTTGCAGTGGGGTCCGTGGGCAGCCAATTGTGGCACAGCAGGATGCAGTGTGGCACGAGATGGCACAGTATGGCAGGGCTGGGAGCCGTGCTGTGCAGTGAGTGTGCTGCTGCCACCGCACTGCAGCAAGGAAAAGGGCTCCRGGATGGAGCCACTAGCATGACAGGGACAGCAGGACAGGGTGAGGGACACAGAGACACCCACAGCAGGGTCCTGCACGGCAGGTGTCTGTGCCCAGCTCAGCCTGGTCGTAGTGCCACCGCCCCCAGGACACTGGCTGAGCCTGGCAGAGGCCTTTACTGRATGGCAGCTGGGGTGTCAGGAGGCAGCTGAGGCAGCTCACAGACTGAGCTGTGAGAGGCTCTCCCAGGGACAGGCGGGTTGACCAGGCTAGGGGATGCAGCAGGGCTGCTTGAGGCAGGTTCTTGCCCAGGTGGCTGCTCTGCTGTTCACTTTCCCCTGGCTCCCAAGAGTCCCTGTGGGACTGGGGTGTCCCCGGGGGCTGCATTTGGGGGCTTCTCTGACCCCCCCAACCCTATCCCTCCCACTCTGAGCATCCTGAAGTGTGATGCCTRTAGCCCAGGGGTTGCTCAAGGGGTTCAGGATCTGTTTCCCAGCCTGTCCCGCAGCCGAGGGGGGTTGCAGCCCCCATGACTACCTGAGGGAGCAAGAAGGGGGCTGGCACCCAAAAGCAGGGGCCCTGCCAGTACAGGATGGTTAGCAAGGCTGCCCCATGGAGCAGTAGATGGGATTCAGCAGTGCCACGCTGGGGAATAGCCCCAACCCCCCCAGGTGCAGAGAAGGATGTGATGGGCCTATCTCCTGCAGTCCATGCACCCCAGGGCTTCCCCACCCACCCACCCTCTGCTCCAGGGCAGGGCACAGCCATGGTGCCAGGTATTCYCTGGGCAGAACTGGGACTGACTGTGGCACTCCAGCCTTTCAGCARGCAGGAAGGAGGTCAGGAATGGATCCCGCCCTTCACAGACACCATGGCTATCTCCTTTCCCTCCCTCTTCATCCCACAGGTGCCCTTTAAAGTCATGGGCAGCACCATCCCCAGGATGCAGGTGACACTGGGCAGCCTCGATGTAGTTTAATAAACTCTGGAGTCCCAGAGCCAGCTCTGGGCAGGCCCGGTGCCAGCCCAGGCAGCACTCCTGAATCAGTTTGGAGCATCAGGAGTCCCAGTCACAGTGGAGCTAGCACATGTGGGGCCACGCAGTCCCCAAAGCAGGTCACGGAAAGGAGCCTCCCTGGAGGTGTCACATGCTCACACAGTGGAGTGGGCCTGTCAGAGCAGGGAGATGCACTGCAGGATGCTCACCCAGCATGAGCTGCTCCCAGGTCTCAGCCCAGCCCCCCACTCTGGCCAGTGACARGGGTTGGTGCTGGGGATGGCCATCGCACCTCCCTGGTGTCGACACCAAGGGGACTGAGCACCACGCAGGTGAAGTTGGAGTGCAGGTGTTGGGTGTCAAAGGAGCTGAAGTGCAGATCACGGTGCAGGGTCACCCCTGAGCCCTGCTGCTCTTCTCTGTGGACCCAGCGGGAACAAATCAGCGCCCATCCAGGCTGGCAGACCCAGGGTCCCTGCCCCGCTGTCACTGCCCCCCAGGCTGCCTGTCCCCATACTCACTGCACTGTCCCCTCACGCACAGCCCCGTCTGGGTGCAGGCTCTCCACGAAGGAGCCGTCCTCCAGCCAGTAGAGCAGTGTCAGYTCCGGAAGCTCACTTGATGCCTCGCATGACACAGTCACGTTCTGTCCTGCAGCCGGAGCGGGTGTGAAGGCTGGGGGGCTGCAAGGGTCCCCAGTGCCCCACAGGCACAGCCCCCTTCCCCCAATTAAGGGGAACACCCCCCCACGTCATCAGCACCCAGAAACCTTGGCTGAAGCTGGAAGATGCACCTTTTGTCTGTTGGAAGCTGGCACAGGAGCTGACCCCCACTGCAGCCTCCCCACCCTTCACCCTGCCATGGCCCGAGGATCTCTCACCTGGACGGGGGGGCTCTGCTGGAGTCCGCAGGATGGTGATGCTGGGTGGCCGCAAGGCCATGGCATCTGGGGGAGCAGAGTGGGGTGAGGTGGGAGGTCAAGGGCAAAACCCTGAGACCCCAGATTTTTGTAGTGGATGACAGGGGAGGACCCCATAAAGGGACAGGGACACTGCTTGTCCCCAGACCCCTGCACAGGCCTGAGAGGTATAGAGCCCRGGGCTATCCTTAGCCTCCCTGGCCCCCCAGGAACCCCCACTTACCTGTGCAGCAAGTGGCCAGGCCCCAGCAGAGCAGGAGGATCCAGGCAGGGGGTGCCAGGGGCCCTGCAGGCAGAGATGGAGCTCAGTGCTGGGCGCACAGGGATGCTCCCATGAGCTCGGGTCGGTTCCCTCAGCATTCTCTAAGCCTGGGATGGTCCCATCCCCACAGCATCCATCCTCCCAGCTGGCCATGGTCCCCTCAGCATCCTCCCCGCAGTACGCTCCAAGTCGAGGATCCCATACCATGGTATCCGCCCAGCACCCCCCGAGTTCGGCATGGTCCAGTACCCGCCAGCATTCTCCTCCCGGCTTCCCTCAAGTCGCGGCTGGTGTCCCCCAAGGCTGTCCCCGGTCCGTGCGGAGAGACAGCGGCTCACCCATGGGGCGGTGGCGCTCGGGACCGCGGCGCTCTAATAAAGCGGCTCGGGGAGGGGCGAGAGGCAGCGCYGTGATTCACCGGAGCCGCCCTCAGCCCCAGCGACGTGTCGCGACGCCACCACACGGGGACCCACACTGGAACGCTGATGTGTGTCGATGGGCCCCGTGCCACCGTGTCCCAAGCCCCCAGAAYGTGCCTGGTGTACCCAGCTCTCCATGCCCCCTGTGCTCTGAGTCCCCTGCACTCGGGGGTACACATCCTTCAGGCACTCCCATGACCAGCATTCCCTGTCCCACATCTGTCCCTGAGGGAGCATCCATGGGCTCCCCAGGGATGCAGGAACGGGGACCCAACCGGGCCCAATGTTCAGCACATGGGGTGCTGGCTGASTGTCACATGTGAACGTGGTTTGCTCCTCAATGCTTCAGGATCTGGGACAAGGCAGGGTCTGCACAGGAGGAAGGTGGGTGAAGCCCCTGGGAGACTGAGTAGGATCCTGGMTGGGAGAGCCTGGGTGCTGCCCCCTGTGTGTCCCAGCTGGTGCAGGACAACAGCTTAGTGGAGAAATCCCCAGGACTTTAGTTGTTGGCTGCAGGAGGCCTGCACAGGGGACTGGCTGTGGGAAGCCCTCTCCCCTGTCCCACAGCAGTCCCCCACCCCCAGAGCTAGCACCTTGGCAGCATACATGATCGGCTACAACACCAGGGGCCAGCCCCTGCACCCCACTCCCATGGGAGCCAATGCAGGCACAGCCATAGAGGAGAAGCAGCCACCTGAGCTACAGGCCCTGGCAAAGCCTAGAAAAAAGTCCCTAAATTCCCAGTGAGTTTTGTAATCCCTGTTCTCAAGGAAGGAAGATGGCAGGAACAGGARTGTTACCTTGGAGACCTGCCAAGTGCAATACATCTGTGGCCTCTAGCTGGGATGAGGCCAGAGGTTGCAAACTCCCGGCAGCATCCACACTTGTCCAGTGGGCAGTGATAAGCCAGAGGCAGCTCCCATGGCAGCACCCAACAACCTCTGCTACCTCTCTGCTGCCACCAACACCAACCAGCCAAGCTCTGCACACTACAGGGTAAAAGAGCTGGGCAGGGAACACAGATGGATGCTTGGTCACCATGCACACAGGGTGAAAGGGGTGGGCAGGGAACACAGATGGGTGCTTGGTCACCATCCATGGGATGTCATTCCCCCAGGGGAGATGAAAGGAGGAACCATGGCCTTGCCCTGCAGCAGGGAAGACGATCAAGAAAAACCCAGCACCGCGTCTCTGTTTCCAGGGCTCTTATTTCGGTGTTTGGCACAACACTGCAATGTGGTTTCACCCAAAGGACGCAGCAGGACACTGGGGTTCCCCAGGCAGAAACACAGCCCACATGGCGCCCACGGCCATGCCACCTCTGTGGCCACTTCCCAAATTCCCTGAGCCACGAGTTGGCTTGTAGCCCTCCACCAGACCCCAGGGAGTGCCCTCRGAGAGTATGACTCAAGTCTCCATATACCAAAATATTACCACTGGCCCTGGGACTGGAGATTTTGTCCCACCCACTGCCAAAAAATGAGCCCAAGGCCCCTCGCACCAGCAGGACTGTGGCATGGTTCCTACCAGCATGGCCAGGAGGCTGTCATGGAGCAACACTGGGGCAGGGAAAYGCCAGCACCAGCCCAACCTTCACTCCATCCCTTTATTCCAGTGCCAAGAAGAGCAATACCCAGTGAGGGCGGACCTGCGCCCCAGGGCAGGGGCACCCACTCTTGAGCTGCTTTTGACGTACCRTCACCCAAAAGGGCACAGAGAGGAACAGCACTGGCCCCACTCCATGCCATAGCTGACCCCCCCCGGGCAGTCAGAGGACACCACTGGCCTCCAGGGAGGAACACTGAAAATTTGAAAGCATATAAAAGGGTTCCCGAGGCAGAGCCCACTATTACCAGAGAGCAGCTTGGTTCCTCCTGGCACACCCGTGGCACCCGGAGTGGACCTGGCAGCCAGGGGTAGCCAGGCAAYCTTCCATTCCCTCTTACAGGGTGTTGGGATCCAGCCTCTCCCCCGCAGYCCCCATATATCCCATCCTCGCTGCCAGCAAGGCTGCTCCGGGGTGCCGGTGTTGGAGCTGGCAAAACCTCAGCCCTCCTCCCCACGGCCTCCCCCAGCAGAGTGGCAGGAGGGAGCTGGAGAACAGCCCACAGCCAAAAGCTCAGGCCAGCAGGGCACTGCAAAGGGCTGGAGAGGGGCAGGGAAAGGGGACAAGCGTCTCTTTTTGGCTGCAATAGAAAGTTTTAAATATGCTCATTAAAATAATTGCTTTTTAAAAAAATCCTCCCCTAGCCCCAGCAGGAGGGGCCCCGATGTTGTCGTCCTCGGGGGTGGCCAAGGTCCTGAGAGGTGATGGAGCAAASCCAGCATCCCAGGTGGCAATGTCCTCTCGTGGCTCCGCAGCTCCCCACCAGCTGCCCTTACTCCAGCCCCAGGATGTAGTTGATTCCCTGGACCAGTCCGATGATCACCGGCTGCCAGGCCACCAAGTAGCGCAGCCAGTCCAGCAGCTGCCCATACATGACGTGAGGCCTCTCCCAGCTGGGCAGGAAGGAGTTAAAGAGCCACAGGGAGATGGGTGAGAGGAGCGTGGCCCACCCAGAAGCCACCCAAWGGTGTCCCAAATGAGGGACAGAGAACAGGGAAGACATCCATCCAGGGAGGGATGGACAAGCACCCAGGGAAGGACAGACATGGGTCCTCATGAAGGGACAGCTGTGGCTAGGCCTGCACTGGGTTTTGCAATGTCTGTGCCACTACCACATGCTGTGGCAACCTACCCACTGTGCCAGGCAAGCCCCTCACCCCTTGTGTGTTCTACCCACTGCTTCCCTTCCCAAAGTGCGGGTTCCCAGGAGGAGAAAGGATACGGATTACTGAACATCCTCTTGAGATCCACCTTCTCTTTGCAGTACGGACATGTCTGCTTCTTCCCGACAATGCACCAGCCCCGGATGCAAAACTCGTGAAACCTGGGGAGTGGCACGTTAAGGGAACTGGAAGAAGAGGGGGATACACAGCTCAATGTGGAGAAAAACACCAAGCCTACGGAAGTCCCCCCAATGCCACAAGAACATCTCGCCATGCGAGGATGGTGCGTTGCACGACCACAACCCTTTCCTAAAAGATGCAGCAGCTTCCAGGGACAGCAGAAGGGGCTCACGGGCAGTGGGATAGGGCCAGAGTGGCAGTATAAAGGCTCTGACCAACATATGGGCACCAGAGAGACTGAAACTCTTCAGTGATGGTGCCCAAGCACTAGGAAGGTTCAGACAGCCTGGGAGAGCTCTGTGAACTGCATGCATTTTTGAAGCCTTCTTCAAAGGCTTCTTGGGGATTAACATTTAAGGATTTCTCACAGRGTCTGACTTACAGGTATGTGCTATGCCCTGTCACAAGGATTTGCACAACCTGAGCACAGCCTGGAGAGGTTACAGGAAAAACATGAGGTGGCTGCAGCTGACTCTGCCACGTACAGGAGTGTCATTGAGCAAAYAAACTTTTCCCAGAACATCTCTGCTGCTCAAACCATGGAAGAAAGCCAGGAAGCAGCAACAGGAATCACTYCCTTGTCAGCCCTGGAGCCATTGATCCAGCAGTGTCCAACCAGCCTTTACCCCTAAGGACTGCCAAGAGCACTGAACAGCTTCTCTGACAGCCAGAGTACCCCAGAATGCTGCAGTACCAGGCCCTTGCACAGGGTCAGCAATAAATCTCAGCACAAAGTTCCCAAGAGTTAAATTTAGGCCACGAGTTTTGCCAGCATGACCTTTGCTTAGGCCCAGTTTGGAAACCACCTCGCAGGCAGTAACGCACACAGTGCCAGAGGACATCCCATGTCCATGCTGAATCACCACGGGGAAAACCCTGACCTGTCAGCCCAGCTAGTGCTGAGCAACAACCAGGACTTCCAGTTTCAAAATCCACTTCACACCAATCAGCTGACAGGAAGGGCTGTGTGACTCCAGGGTGCTGGAAACCCTGGAGAAGTTCTGGAGAAGAAGGAAGCTGCTGGGCTGTGGCCAGAGCACGAGGTGACTGGCAGTGCTGGACCAGGGGGCTGTTTTCAGTGCTGACAGCAGGGCCAGCAGTGTTTCCCTACAATTCTTCCTTATGGATCCTCAGACAGGACCATAGCAATGGGTCTCTGATGAGGGGCCAGTGTGACATGGAGCAGGGATGCCTCATGTCCCAGTCTCACACCATCACTTCCCCTGGAACATCTGCTGGGACATGGCCAGGCAGATGGGTCACAGCAGATTTGTCCAAAGCAGGTAGAAAGTGAGATGCAGCTCCATGGCGGAGCAGAGGCAGCTGGGGAGAAGGAAAAGGAAAAAACCACTTGTGAGTGGCTATGAAATAATTTCAGGGACACCTCTTCCCAAGTCAGTGATGACACAGGCACAGATCACATGCAAATTCAGCCAGACAGCCCCAAGTCCCAGATGGGCATTTCTTCATCCAATGCAGGAGAAGCCATGGGGCAGGAGTTCCCTGCTGCCCACCCCAGCACGGGGCCAAGGAGGTGGGGGGGCRGCACCTGCAAAGAAGGATACACGTGGTTGCAGGAGAGGCGGTAGGTGTTCTCAATGATCCCCTCCTCATTGACATCCACGAAGATCTGCTGGCCACAGACGGCACAGACGCTGTCCGAGAGGTGCTTGGTGGGCATCCCTGAGGCGCTGTAGAACTGAGCGAGGGCAGAGCAGAGGGAGAGTGGTGACAGTGGCAAGGGACACATTCCACACCCGCGGTGGCACAGCTAAGCTCTAAGGAGGGCTGGGGTCAGCACCCCARGAGTCCAGCATTGGCTTTTGGGATTTAAAAACCTTGTTACAAGTCTGGCTGCAGGAAACAACTACAACAGGATAGCTGTTCAGTGATGCAGAGGCCCATCACACCCCAGCCCCGTGCACCCCCTCCCCATGCTGAGGGGACACTCCTCTTTGCTCGCTGATAGCCAGGTGGGTTTTCAGTGCCTGCCAGGGCTGTGCACCCAGGGCAGAGACTGGGGGAGAGAGCAGGACAAGCTGCAGGTCATAGCTTCGACTCAAAATGACAACCTTGGGCTGCCAGTCAGATACAGCCCCCACCTCCAGCCCTGCAGATCCCTGACACTCATCCAGCAAAGTGCAGAGAAGCCAGCCCCCTTCATTTCCAAGCCTGATGGCACAGCACAGGCTGCACACAGAGGGTGGGGCCACAAAACTGGGTCCCACACACTTTGGTCCCAAACACTCCTGCTACAAGGGACCCCTCAGGATCATTGAGTCAAACTCCYTGCTCGACAGCACTAACTAAAACCAAACCATATGACTCCTTGAAATGACTGGCATATGACTCAAACAAYTCCTTGAAATCTGGCAAACTTGATSTCATGATCATGTCTCTGGGAAGCCTGTTCCTGCTGGGTAAAGAACCTTTACCCCATGTCCCACCTGCACCTCCTCTGATGCAGCTTCACTCCATGTGTYTTGTTGCTGGACACCCACCTCCCTTGGCCACATAAAGATGCTGTGTCTGATGCACCCCAGGATATAGTTGGCCCCTTTTACCTGCTAGGACACACTACTGACTCATATTCAACTTAYTGTAAACTCAAATTCACTAATCGCTTTCCACAGGACTCTCTCCATACTCTTGCTCCCAAATTTGTACCTACAACCAAGATTACACTATCCCAGATGGAGATTCTGACACTTGTCCCCATTAAATTTCACACAGCTGGTGCTTGCTCAGCTCTTGTCTGTCCAACTCACTTCCCAAGGAGGTCACAGCTCCTCCTGGTTTACTGTCATCAGCAAAACATGCCTCTGGCAGAGCGCCAGAACAGCTTTGCTCTGAGCATCTGAAAGAGCTGTGGGGATCTAAGAGAGACCCAAGCTGTGCCAAGGTGTCCCAGTGTGGCAGGTGAAGGGCTGGAGCAGAACCTCAAGGAGTGACAGSAGCAGAAAGCTCAGAAAGGAGGAAGAGTAGGAGGAAACACAAAGTCCAAGTCACTGAACAGCTGCTGAAAAGAAGAAACATGACCTACTCCACCGGTGTCCTAGGTCACATATTTTTGGTGGAGTTGGTTATTTTGATACCGGGTGAGTGGGATATAGATTTTAGGCCACTGTGTCCTCTGTCCACAGGGAGAAAAGTTGTAGCAGGTACAAAGAAGGAAGCCCACAGCATGAGTCCTTCCCTGGTGGCTGCAGGTCACAGTGTGGTCCCAGAAATGGGAGTGCTCATTGGCACTGGAGATTTTAAAGGCTCAGGAAAATAAATATTTGTCAGTTTAGCGGGGCTAAACASCTMATTCCATTCCTCCAYAGACTCAGAGAACRGCTTGAGTTGGAAGGGACCTTGCAGATCACCCAGTTCCAACCCTCTGCTTTGGGCAGGGACMCYTYC